AGATGTTTTTGTATTCATTTTGTTTCAAGATCCTTTGCCGTGCATCCACCCTGATTGATTAGCTTGAGCTTCGATGCTTGGGACGCTTCGGGCCGTCGGGAGATGGCAGTGACGGATCGATCAGTTGTTGGTCATCAGTCACGTGGATCGTCAATTTTCTTCCCAAACCTCCATGCCTCCCGTACCGCAGGAGCTCATCGATGCGATCGTCGACGAGATCGACGATAGGAAGGCACTCTCTCCGACGTGCCTCGCGGCCAGGACCTTTGTCTCGCCTTGCCAAAAGCGCCTTTTCCGCGGCATCCACTTCGTTGGCTACATATCGAGCTCGTCCGAGTATACTCGACGGGCAGCCGAGTTGTTTGCCTCCTCGCCTCATCTGCGATCTCATGTCCGCACCCTGGCCATGTATGAGCTTCCGACCGCCGCAGATTTTCCGATTCTTGCCCAGGTCCTCAACATGTTCCGGGACTTGAGGATCGTCCAGCTGAATCTCACACAAGTGTCCTGGGGTATGCTATCCCAGGATCTCTCCGACGCTCTCATGGGTCTCATGGGATGTCCATCTTTACAATGTCTTGCCATGCGTTATTGTACCGTCCCCGCCGCCCTCATATCCTTTGTCCACACTTCCGTGGTCGATTTAGTGCTGCACGAGGCGCGCGTCGAGAGTCTATCCCCACACAGTTCGCTCCTCATCAAACAGCCTTCGAATTGCGGAAAATCCACGTTAAAGCGTCTCCAACTTGGACAGAATGTCGGCTCTGAGACGCTGGGATCTGTGTCCCGGAACATCACACCTCACCTCTCAAAGCTCCAACGCCTCGGGTTTGACATACGATCCGACGCAGACGTCTCCGTCCTGGCCTCCGTTCTCGATGCGACGGAGGATCTGGAACGCCTGACGCTGTGCCATGAGCGTGAGTCCCGTGTAGTCCGGGTTCCCGAATCCTTTCTGAACATCTGAAATTGATGTAGCCAACGTCGACTCCGCGCCCCTTGACATAAGAAAGCTCCCATCCCTCCGCGTACTGGAGCTGCGCATGCTGCTCGGAGGCTCCCCAAAGATGACACTCGCTCAAGTCTTGTCGATTGTCCCCAGGGCAGACCAAATCCCCCATGTCTCGGCGGACGATCCGCCCGGTCTGTTCATGGGCATTTCGAGCACCAAGGCATTCACATGTCTCACGGAACTCGAGTTCGAACTATGGTTCCCCTTGGACGAAGGGTATATTGCCGATGACGGTCGGTCTGCGCTGACGACGTACATTCTGAAGTTTTGGGAATCGGTGAAGTCAGCACGCGCTGGCATGCGATTGTCGGTGCTGGATCTCGTCGGCGATGATGATTGAGAACGAGGGGTTGGTGGTTCTGTCTCCAGATGATGTGTCGGCTGGCGGATGGCCGTACTTGAAAATTGAGGGGTGTAAGGTCTAGGTCTTTGTGTTATCTCTCTTGTCTGTATACGTCCGCCGCCTGTGTTGTTCTTACTACCAGCGCCATTGAACCCAGTTCTTTCTCACCAACGCGCGTTCTCTTCTTTCCTATTCAATCTACGCTTCTGTGACGTCTTAGTAGTAACAACGTTGAGATGGCGGAAATAGCGCGCAGATGCTTCGTTGGCGGTCCAAACACTGCGGCGTGGGACTCTGGCCTGTCACATTTTTTTCTTCCTCCCCGACACCCATGATCACCTGGCCACAAGAGCTGCTCGACGCCGTCGTCGGCAAAGTCCCCGACAATGTCACCCTCCAGCAATGTTCCCTGGCCTCTAAATCCCTCCTCGTCGCCAGCCAACGGGGCCTCTTCCACAGCGTGTCCGTTAAGGATAAGAAGAGCATCCGCCGCGCTACCCAGCAGTTCACCGCCTTCCCTCATTTCAGATCCTACGTCAAAGAGCTCGATGTCTCGACGCCCGAGTCAAAAAGCCAGCTGAAGGAGCTCGCTTCTCTCCTTCCCATTTTCCCAGATGTCGCACGCATAAAGTGGTCGGGCGAGGAGTGGCCAAAGTTCCTCGTCACAGCTCTGATGGAGAGCCTTCAGAAACCCTCTATGCAGTCGCTCACCCTGATGATCTGCGAGGACATGGCCCCCAGTCTACTCTCCTATGCTGCCGCATCCGTCAGACACCTCGATCTAGCGATTGTGTCGCTGGATAATCATGCAGAGCCCGTGACCGCCGTCGCTCCCAGTGCCCAACTCAAGCATTTGTCTCACACGCTGGGGGGTGTCATGGGCGGCGGAAGATACGATACGATCCGTCCGCTGCTGCCTCATCTATCCGGGCTCGAAGTACTCGAAAGCGATATTAGTTCTGCACCGCAGTTCAAGTTGCTTGTGGAGGCATCGCACAAAACTTTGAAGAAACTGTATCTTCGTCAATTAGGTGCGCCCATTGCGCAAACGAATCCAGACTCAAGCTGAGCGACCGCATACCCAGATTTCCCAAGGCTCGCACACATTTCTCGCACCCCACCAATGCACTCGCTCCGCGTTTTGCATCTAGATTTCCTGCACGCTTCGGAAACGTTATGCATCCTCGCCCTCTTCTCCGCGCTCCCCCCTCCCACGAGCATCCCACACCTCGAGACCCTCTCGATGTACATTGGCCCCGCGGATAAAGTCCCCGTTCCTCAAGCTGCCGCCTCGGGCCTACGCGAGATTTTGGACGCCTACGGAGAACTACGCACGTTCCATGTCGAGCTCGGCTGGCGTGGCTCTCGCGCTGGGCTGCTCTCGTTGGCTGAGTACATCCGGGCACAGACGCCAGCTCGCATTCGTGTTTCCGGGTCGATTTCCAAGCAGAGTGGGTGAGGTCCGTGTGCTCGATGTAAAAGATAACATGTATCGCGGAGTGCTGCCTCCGACCTTTCTTGTTTGTATAGATACGGCGTCACCGCTTCTGTAAATTCTGCTATCCGACAATTGATATCTTGTTGCTCTCCCGCGTAAGTATCCCACCTGTGACTTCCCTTCCAGATATAAAGGCCAATAACGAGAGAGAAAAGGAGGCTGACTCTCCATGGTACCTTGAACAAGCATCTTCTCGGATCGAACGAGTTAAAGCTGAGTTTTGGAGTTTTGGTCGTTATTAAAATCCAATTCCCCTGAGTCTGCATCATACTCTTACTACCTCGTGTCGGCGACGACTGTTGAGAACGTTGTGGGGGAATCGGATTCGTTTGTTGGCGGTCCAAACACTGCGGCGTGGGACTCTAGCCTGTCACTTTTTTTTCTTCCTCGCCACTCATGGTCGCCTGGCCGCAAGAACTTCTCGAAGCCTTCGTCGAGCAAATCCGTGGCAAGAAAACCCTCCAACAATGCTCCCTGGCTTCCAAGTCTCTCGTCGTCGCCTGCCAGCGGCGGCTCTTCCACACCGTGTCCGTCATGGAAATGACTGACTGCCACCGCGCTACGCAGCAGTTCACCGCCTTCCCTCATTTGAGATCCTACGTCCGAGCACTCCATGCCACAGTCCAGCCTGATGGTCAAGCAGAGTGGGAGGAGCTCGCTGCCCTCCTCCCCATGTTCCCAAATATGGCGCGCCTCGATTGGACGGCGGGCATCCAGTGGCCAAATGTCCTCATCTCGGCTCTCAGAGAGAGCCTCCAAAGCCCCTCCCTTCAGTCGTTCAATCTACTGGTGGCCAACAAATTCCCCCCAAGTTTGCTCTCCCATGCTGCCGCATCCGTCAGCCAGCTGGGTCTCTGGCATGTGACGCTAGACGATCGCGCAGAGCGCGCTGTCGGGGTTGTTCCACGTCCAAACCTCAAATCTTTAACCCACAGAGTAGCAAGTAAGATGGGCAACCAGGATACAATCCGGCTGCTGCTGCCCCATCTATCGGGGCTCGAAAAACTCGAGGACGATCTTACTTCTGCATCGCAGTCCAATCTCATCATGGAGGCGTCGCACAGAAGTTTGAAGAAACTTTCTCTTCCTGATTTGGGTGCGTGCATTGCGGCAAACGATGCAGCGTTGATCTAAAATTTGCAACCACAGATATACCCAAACTCGCGCACATTCCCCGCACTCTACGCATGGATTCGCTCCTTGTTTTGCATGCGGGTTTCGTGTGGCACGCCTCTCCAGAGCACTGCCTCATCTCCCTCTTCCGCGAGCTCCCCCCGCCCTCGTGCATGCCGCAGCTCGAGACGCTCTCCGTCCGCATCGGCCCCGCAGACAAAGTCCCCGTCCACGCCCACAACGCTTCAGGCCTACGTCCGATTTTGGACGGCCACACAAGATTGCGCGCGTTCGAAGTCGAACTCCGCTTGAGTCTGCCTCCCGAAGATGGAACGTCGCCCTTGGCCGAGTACATCCAGGCGCAGACGCCGACTCGGATTCGGGTCACCATCTCGAATCACAAGGACAAGGAATGAGATCCGTGTGCTCGATGAGGGAAGCAATATGGATTGCAGAGTCCCCTCGTTCTTGTTTGTATAAAACCGCGTTGCAGCTTCTGTAGATTCTGCTGTTCGACAATTGATATCTTGATGCTTGGCTGCCTGCCATTGTCCCCAACTTCGACCCGTGCAAATGGATCTCCAATTTGAAGAGCCCACATAAGTCCTGACTGCTACTAGACGGAGTCAAGATCCAGCCTTAGCCCTTGGGTCCAGCAACGCTGCCGACGCAGCGGGAAAAAAGGTCGCAACATCACAGGGCATAACAGACATTCCTCGAATCGAACGAGTACACCCTAAGTGCGAAAGCTGAGGCTGAGGTTTGTGGCAATTAAAGTTCCACTGCAGTCTGGCGTACACCAGTTGGATCTGGAGTCAAACAAGGACGCAGCGAAAGTTCAGCGAAAGCGAAACACAGGAAAGTGGCCTCAACGGTCTTCCGAGACCAGGGCCGTCGACGGGGATCACTGATTTGAAGTCGGAGTCCACGGCGATGGAGGGGAAATTATGAGCCGAGGAGGGGAGTATGTAGTGCACAACTATGCACACGGTCACCTGTATGCCGGAGGCCGGCAGTAGTGGAAACAAAAGAAACGACACCTGTGCGATTCGAACACACGCGGGGAGACCCCAATGCCTAACCTTAGTCTTGATAGCAGGGCATCGCCTTAACCACTCGGCCAAAGTGTCATTACAAGAGCTGGGAGATCTGGCATACACGACCATGTGAGTGATCTCGGATATGGGTCATAGCGGCCATCGTCGATGGCCAACGGCGCCTCTTCCGCAGACTGGCATTACTGGGCTGCTCATGCCCTTGGACGCTTCGTACGCCTGTGTCGCTGAGGTCAAGTTGGAGCTGTACTTCCCCTCGAGGGAAGGGTATATCGCGGATGACAGCCAGTCCGCGCTGGGAGTAGTGTTCACCACGGGTCACCCGCGGGTAGTCAGACGACGACCCGCACCCGTACCCGCGACAAACCCGACCCGTGCCACCGGGTACGGGTCATGACCCGACCCGTAATTTGACGGGTTTTGGGGCGTATTCTGCGACGCTGGTGCCTGGAAGACGTTCTGGAGTGTGCCTTTAAGCGGTAAGCAAGGTCTTATGCCCTCAAAACACTGCACAGTGACCTCTCCATGATGTTCCGACGCAGATTGATGGCTTGAGTCTGACCCGCACGGGTTACGGGTGGTTCAACAGCGACCCGAGCCCGTACCCGCGACCCGGACCGGGTTGCCAAACCCGTGGTGAACACTAGCTGGGAGCTTACATCCAGGAGTGTTGGGGCTCGCTGAGCTCGGCTGGCAAAGCTAGGTTGTCGTTTTTGAATTCCCCCAGAGAATGATGCCATGCGAGTACATATATTTTGCCAGGATATTCGTTCGTCGGCTGATAAGTAATGAAGGGAGAGCTGGAGGGACTCGGAGATAAGTAATGCAATGTTATATTTCGCTCGGCGCTGAGCGAAGTTGCAGTTAATTGGTAGAATGTCCGTTCAACTGAGAGAAACATGCCCTGAATCAATGTCCCAACCCTTCGATCTTCCAGAGCGATACGATAAATACATCAATTCGTCCAAGAATTAACAGCCCGTGTCCGTAAAGTATGTACAATACAACCCTTTCCCTCTAAACATTCAAAAACTCCCTCGACCCTTCGCCCTGTACAACCATCTTGATCCCCGGACCCGCACCCTCCGTATGCGGCTCCATAAACCTCGTCGGCCACACGAAACAATACAGCGTCATCGACACCCATAGCGTGAGCGAGTCGAAGATGTAAAAGTACCCCTCGTGGTCAGCCAGATATCCGTTATACCCGCCGGCAAACTCGGCGATACGGAAAACGGAACGAACGAGGATTCCAACGCAGGTGAGACACATTGTCCAGTAGAGCAGGTGCCAATTTCGGCTGGGTTCTTTGCCGAGAACTTTGAAGGGTGTGCGGTCTTGTTGTGGCGCGTTCCAGAGACCTGGGAAGCGGGTTTGCCTGTGCATTTCATTGGTAATTAGTCCGCAGTCTGATACGGATAATGGAATGACTTACAAGCGCCAGCCAAATACAATCAGAAGGCATACGAAGAAGAGGAAGGAGAGCAATTGCAGCACAAGCCCGACCATGGAGATCTTCGTCCCAAGTTTGCCTGTATTGATATTATGACTCGTCGACATGGAGCCTCCCCCGGCCTGGATGAGAAACGTGACGACGTCGCTCCAGACGAAGATCCGCACGATGAGTGCTGGGCGGACGAGGAGCGTGCTGGAAATGACGTGCGCGTCAAAGGTGGATGTCAGTCGGGCGAGGAGGACATAGTCTGTGGCGAGGAAGGCACAAGGGGAGAGGAGGATGAACAGATCCTCGACGATGTAGAGCGTCAAGTTGTTTGGCGAGTTGGAGAATATTATCCGCATCACGAAGCCGATTGTCATGCCTGCGCAGCGGGATGTCAACAAACTTCCTGGCGCCATGCATGCGACTAACCCGTCATGCCGACAGTGAGAGTTGTCATGAATGATGGGCGCCCGAATCTAAAATAATCTGGCGTGAAAAAAGTCAGCAACGCCCGCAAGGAAGAATGGGAGAACGCACGTATCCATAGGACCACCGCGGACAAGCCGTACAGGGCCAAAGCAATGACTGCAGGGCCTTTCTTTGGTATGAAACCACCGCTGTAGGAAATGAGTGTCAGCACCAACTGGCAGACATTTACACGCACATGGGGTGGTCTGTAGAAGTTGCAGCGAGTACGGTACTAATCAGCGCAGAGAAGAGAAGTAGGGAACGGAGAATATGATTTGGCATCGAAGGAAGAAGGGGAAGGAAGAAAGTTGGGCGTCGAAGGTGTGTTACCGCGTATTATATATGAATCACCGTCAATAACAAATTTTGCTGTTCACCGTTCACCCATGGAGTACACAGCACTGCGGAATTCGACGGCCGTGATCTGAATATGCTAGGATGTCATTGATGCATTGTCAACGGCACATCGCCGAAGCTTTGAAATCTGAGGGTCTGAGCGAATCCACCCAAGAAGCAGAAACGGACAAGACTCACGTAGAACGCAATCTTGTTTTTCTCGTTCATGGTGGGGCCACGATCCATGGCTGTGTGATCGGGAAAAATACCTCGCGCTTTAGTTTTAAATTTGGGAGCCAAAACGGCGAGGGCGATGCGGATGTGATGACAAGCGTGTTTCCATACCCACTCGGCTTAATCTGCCCTGGCTTATGTCAAGATGATCACGACGCGGCGCCAGCTGCGGCTGCTGCGCCGCAGGTTGGCCGCGGGTTCCAGCTGAAGCGAGCGGGGTTTGTGCAGATTTCGTCCGAGTCCGGTTGGCGAGAACCTGAACAGTGTGGGCTTGCGGAGAAGATCAGACTTTTCTTGGCTCATCAGCCAAGGCTGTTGCTGGTTTATCCCAATTCGGAATGATCTTGCGTTAAGCCGCCTGATGCTTACCACACACACCTCACATTGAGTCGTTGACCTCACGGACAGGACTCGCTGTGCAGCCTGTAAATTAAGTTGTTCTTGGACGAGATTCTCGGGAATGAAAAAAGAAAAATTCCATTAGAATTAAAGAACTAGTATACAAAATACACCGAGGTGGAGAGCGCGCTAGATGACTCCGACGACTTCAAGTGAACGCACTGCGGCGCATCAAGGAGACGGAATACATCCACGCCATCGTCCGCCCGCAAGGAATTCCCGCACTGAGTATACCACTCCACCCACGCAAATGGTCACCGTTGACAAAGACATGAATGTCGAAGACATGAGCTCGAGAGCGACGACGGAGTTCCTCCTATCGTGCCAAGTTCAAATGTCTCCTGGATTATCTGCATATCTACAGGCAGAACAAGGAAGAGTTACTTCGACAGCACCCTGATCAAACTCTTGATGACTATGAATAGACTGTCTATACAACCTGGCAGATGAGCTTTGAGGAACTCAGCCCATTAGCTGCCCAGCTTTTACAGTTCTGTGCTGTATTGCACCACAGAAATATTCCCCAGTCAATATTTGCCAATGCCACACAGTGGATATTGAACAATGAGGGGAATGAAACTGAGTCAATGGGGGAAGCCAGGAAATTTCTCCAAAACTTTGTCTCAGGTTCAGGAAGTTGGTCAAAACAATATTTCAGGAATATTGTGGCGGAGATTGAAGAATATTCACTGATTGAGAGCCAGGAAGCCAGTGGTACACTAGATATGCATCCACTTGTGCATCTGTGGTGCTCAAGCACCCTACCTGATGAGGTAACAACACGGGCATGCATGGCAAATGTGGTGGGGATGGCAATAGATGTTGGCCCTGATGCATATTTGGAGAGGATCAGGATGATTGCTCATGTCAACATGCTTGTCCCAGATTTCACCGTGGTAAATTCTCAGTTCTGGGGGCAATATGCATGGATGTATTATGATGGAGGTAAATTTGAGCAAGCAAAGGGTTTGCGTGAACTGCATCTGCAGAGACAGAGGGATCTGCTTGGAAAGCACCACCCTGCCACGCTGATGGCCATGGCCAACCTTGCAGCCACATATGGGAAACTGGGTCGGTACAGAGAGGCAGAGGACCTCGAAATTTCCGTCCTCAAAGAGCGTCAGAAACTCCTTGGTGATGACCATCCTGACACCCTGAGAGTCATGGGCAACCTTGCAGTCACGTACCGGGACCTGGGTAATCATTGGCGCCTGTAGTGCATTGGATGCGCCGCGGCCGCAGTCGCGCGCTCGTTCGGCGCGCGAATCATGCAGATTACATAACATTGGAGGTGGTGCGTTTTGAGTGCCTTTCGCTGGCGGAAAGCTCTAACAACGTGGCTGAGACGACGCCGGGCGTCTTGAGCCCAAATCGGTTGGGAATCCTCTCCAAATTTGGACACCATCATCTTTGAACTCGACTTTCATGAACCCAGCTGGCGAGGCGAATCCCTTCCACGGAGCACTGGGAGCAGTTTCCGGGCAAGGGCAAGTATAAACCCCTACTTCATTGATTCCACTGCCCGAGCCAACTCATGGTCCCGTCTCTCCTCGTCTTTCACAATGCTCGGTCAGATCGGTGTTGGGTGCCCTCTCGCCGCTGAATAACTGATTCCTCGGCATTCCTTTCTTGGCGGGGACTTGCTTTTGAGGCCCAACAACAATCACCACGTTAAATGCTGCCAAGTGATACACGTATGAGACAGAATTTGCCTTTGATTGCACTCACAGTGAGTATCTTCGCCCATCTTCCGCGACAAAGGATTCGGGAAAATGTACAGTACTTGAATCAACGCATATTGCATTCTCTGGTGTAAATTCCACGACCACCAACCCCACTCGGGTTTTGAATTTCCCCGGAGGATACCGTAGCGAGGTATGTATTTATTCTTCCATGAGAGCTCGCCCTGCGCCGGTGCGACGCGTGCACTACACGATGCCGCTCGACTGGAGCAGTTTCCACAACGGTTGTTTTGGGGAGCGTATAATCTGTTGACACTTGGTCAAGTCCGTTGGTAGGGTTCCGTTGTTGGTTCTGAAGGATGGGCGTTCGGCAAGCTTCATGGATAGATAGTCTGTTTGGAGTTAGCTGCGGCTCCAGTCGGACTCGAGCCGGTCGACCGTGTGCTGGACAGTGGAGATGCTAAGCCTTCGCGGCTGAATCGACATGAAGAAGTTGTGAGTTTGACGGCCAGGTT